TTAAACAAAACAGAAAATATACACCTTTTCGACAAGTTTTTGTCATCACCCCGTCCGTGATGATGACAAAACCTTGTCGAAACGTTGTACATTTGCTGTTATGTTAAAGTTTTTCTTCATTACCCATTCAAGTCGTCTCCAGCCATTAGGGGTGTTTTATCATTTCACTGTCCTTCCTTTTAGCTTGGCTTTGGCTTCATACATCTTCTGTTGAGTAATTAAAGTGTGTGATGTTTTTGTCATTATCTCAACATCAACTTTCACTTCTACTTATAACAGTTGGCTTATTCTGACCTCTTCTTCCATTCATTATCTTACACACACTTCATTTGACCACCTAACTGGTTACATATCTTGGGTGGATTGTCCACATGTCCAAAATCTACTTAATATTAACACAATATTTGGTACATCTGGGATTCTGGATCAACACAGTTCAAGGAACACTTCAGCCATTTTCTATGGCATTGCAAGCCTTTGAAGTCTTGTATTCATACTCTTTTTGTCCTCCAAACCTACCTTTCTGCTTTGGGGACAGTAGTCTCACTTCATGAAGTCATTCTCTTGGGGTGTGTTACCACCAATGGTACCTTGCTTTTCAGTGGCATCTGATTTCAGGCTCTTTATCCTGAAAGCAAGATCTCCTTTTCTTCTTCCTTTTGAGCTTCATCTTTTTACAAATGTCTTTCTCAGTCATGGTTTTCTCATTAAATCAACTTTCTCATGGTGAACCAGTCCCATTATCACCATAGAATCATCTTCCAAGACAATGTTTAATGTTTGTTTTTCACAATGACATCCAATGTATATGACTTCATGGCTGGCTGTTATTTGTCTCTTGTTCAAGAATCCATATTTTCTTCACTGATTGATTGTTTGAATGTTAGCTCATTCTTGCAGATGCACCTTTCTATCTGTTTATCAGTCTTGTTGGGCTGACTTCTGGAATAAGTGTATGAGGCATGTTGTATATTGTTTCTCTCTAATTTATCAACAAATTGAATGTTTCTGTATGTATTTGTTTCATAACCATGGCTTATTAACTTCTTTTATAACTGTTTACAGAGCTACTTATGTGCCACCTTCAGATGCTATGAAAACTGCCAATCCCTGTTGTCAGCATTAAACACAGACCTTTCTTTAACCTTTCATCCTCAGTGACCTAGAATTCTTAGGAATTCTCTTAAGTAGAACTTAGACTTAGTATTAATATCTTGGCATCTCCTCCTTTTGAATCCTTAGAGACTTGTTGCTTGTTCATATATTCATTTATTACTGCCATCAGAAAGATGATATTGATATCTTTGCTCTAAGTGGAAAGTCTTGTACTTATATCCTGATCATTATGTCCTATCTCTAACTTATCCCATCTCTTTTTAGAAGAACTTCTTGTTTCTTGTGTAAAGGTTATTTATTATTAACTTGTACATACTGAACCTATCAGAGGGTCTTAGAAAAGGTTGTTAATACCTTACAGTGAATCACACTCTTTGGCTCTTGCTTTGGCTACTTTAACAAATTAGCTTGTACAAGTCACCCATCTTGTTCACCAGAATGTTCCTTTACATTTTAAAAGTGAATCTGGGGATAAATCTCACCACAATTTGCTATTTTGGGACATCTTTAGCATCTTGGTTGCAGTATCCTTTAGATGATATTCTGCAGGAAAAAATGTGGACAAATTGAGTATACTCTTCTAATTTTATTAATATAATTTTGGCCCTGCTTGTAATTCTTTAAGCTAAATGGAATCCTTAGCAGGTTAGTTTGCTGTTTATTTAACACTTGGGCCCACAACCTTGTTGTGCATGGTGATACCACTTTAAGATGCAATATTCCTTTTAACAATTACAGGGGCATCTGGAGGTCATGGAATCATTTGATTAAAAAAGAAAAAACAAGGTTTTTATTATAATACGAGGTCCATGTTTGAATGCATTTATTAGTTGGGACTATTGCATATTACATATACCTCTGTGATTCTCCAAGACAAAAAAAAATCCACCCACCTATCATGTATGTTCTTATGTACTGATTGAAACATTTGAGATCAAATGACCATTCTGCATATATTTTTTATAGCTCCAACCAGTATGGAGAACACCTTATTGTTTTTATATTTATAATTATCAACATGTTTGGTATTTCTATTACTCTGTTTTCGAGTTGTAAAGCACATACTTTGGTCTGGTTTCATGTCTTGCTCTGCCTTGTTGAATTTGAATATAGGGGGCCTTAGCCATAGGAACATGTTCAGTCTTTAGTATTTCTTGCTGAAGCTGAAAAACAACTTACTGACGTTAATTTTTACCATGCCTTTGTTTAACTTGAATGTTAAAACTATCATTAACGATTTGGTTCATATGGGTAACTTGCCATCAGATACTACTAATCTTATTGTTAGTAATCCCAGAACACCAGAATTTTATCCCCTCCCTAAGATTCCTAAATCAGGGAAATCTGGTCACCCAATTATTTCCACCTGTAACTGCCCTATCAAATAAATTTTTTCCTTCCTTTGATGATGTCCTTAAGCCATCTCATCTCTTCCTAGTTACATAAAGAAACAATTGAAATCTGCATCTCCTCTTACCTGTCGTATTCACCAGTATTTGCTTTTTATTTTCATCCATCAGATGGGTTATTCAGGTTCTCTCCACAACCTATCTCTCTGATTTATTTTTCCTCATTCTCTCTAACCCTTTTTTTTCCATTTCATTTCCTCTTCCCTTTGTTCTACTTTGACTTCAGTGTCTTGAGGATAGGGTCTTCCATTTTTGTGCTCTCACTTTTGGCTTTGTGCCTGTTCCTTTGTTCTTTTCTCAACTCGTGAGGGCATTTACCAGCCTTGCTGTCAGTATGGGACTGGAATTTCTGTTTTACGTGGTTAATTGGCTTCTTCTCACCCCTTCTGGAAAGAACTCATTCTCTCACACCTGCATTCATCTGTGGGAGGCTGCTTGACTGGGCTGGCTTGTCACACCTTCCAAGTTTTTTTTCATGTTAACTCTATGTTTGTTACATCTGGGCATGATTTTCTACTCGCATTTTAATCAGGTTTAGTCTTCACCATTTTTCATATGAGCAATGGAATGTATTGTCTCTTTGGTTTGTGTTTCTCCTTTTCATCCTGCACACAGTGTTTTTTTGCTTTTGGAAATTCTACCATTCATTCCTTAAGATCGTACTTACATGTGCCTCTTCCAATAATAGTTGTTAAACTGGAGGTCTCCTATTTGTTTGTTCTACAAATCATTCAGAATAAGCGTATTTACAAATGATGCTGCATTTACTGGAGCTTCTAAAGGTTTTCTTTAACAAGAATGAATCTCATCCAGGTTTAGAAAACATAGCATTATATACATGAAACAATAATGCTATTTTATCAGGATATATGCACCAATCTACCTGTTTTGGTCATTCCCATCAAAAACTAATAATGTAATTTTAAGTTATCACTGGATCTGCCAGTCGATTACATAACAGTCTGCTTTCACATGGTATGATTTACTTTACAGAAATCCTTCCCACAAGACATGTGACATCATAAGCATAGGTGAATAACGAGGCAAAAGGCACTAGAAATTTATTTGATCAAAGTTCTATGTTAAACCTACATATGCTTTTATGTACAAAACTTTTTAAAGTATTTCATGTAAACTTAAGAGTTAAATATACAAGATTAGAAAACCTCTTGTATGCCTGAAACTACAGCTTATATTGAAAAAATTACTCAGGTTTTAAACCTTGGGTTCTGACTATTCATTAAACGTAAAATGTTACTAAAGTTAATGATAAAGACAGAAATGCTAATTTCCCTTTTTAATATAATTATTACTTGATTCAGTTATTTGGAATCACAAACAACTTATTAATTGTTTTTGTGAATATATATGTTTAATTTTGTTTTTTCATTTACTTTGCTAGCCAAAGCATTGCCTGTCTGGCTGAACGTATTTGCCCATGTATTAGTTTCCATTATTAATTTTTATATGCACTTTTGAATTGAATTTTTTGCCTTTTTTTTTTTTTGGAGCATAATTTCAGAGTTTATTACTATTCATTTATAACTAGAACATTTTTATTAATACCGTCATAAGAATTTTTAAATGTTCTTCCAGATTGAAAGATTGCGAAAAGAAGGGTCTAAGCTATTGGAAGAAGAACAAGAATTACTAAGGAAGCATATGCAAAAGAAGGAAGCTGTATTTTCTGGTCAGTATAATCAGAATTCAGAAATGCTTCTCACTTCTCCATAAACTGAGAGCTCAAACCTTGCACCACTTCCAAAAAACGTTTTGCACATGCACCAAGCATTTTAATGAAACTTCTAACCTCTATGCATAATATTGTGTACTGCACCAGTCTATTATGCAATCATTATTTGACTATAGATCTCCACCAATAGGAAAGCAACATGCTATCCATGCATAGTATTCCCATTAAGCACATTGAGTATACTTGAAAACTCATTATTTCCTCTGCAGTGTTAATGATTCAGACATATTTTTCTCATTACAAGTTATGTAACTGTTTCACTTGTTATTTTATATTTTTAATTAACATTCAAAATGTTATATTTCTTTCTTTTCTTTTATTTAATTTCAAGAAAGAAGGCTGCAAGTTTTTGAACTTTTAGTTAGAGCTTCTGCTATGAATTATATTTTCTTACATTTCTTCTGTTAATCAAATTATAAGATTTTCTGACACGTGTTCCTGAGTCTGTGATATGTTTTCTTTGACAAGACCATTCCCTGTATTATTAACTCTGCACTTAGGTTTTAATAATTAATCACAATTTTCATAGATAAAATTACCAAGGCCTAAGTACCTTGGATATACCACACTTATTTAAAAAAAATTCTCCATGAATACACTTTCATGAATCTTATTGCATACAACTTTTAATATTTGTGTTTCTGAAACTTTCGAATGTCCAGACTCTCCTTCGTAATATTTGTCTTATTTTATTTTAACGGTGACGAATATTACTCAGGTGGTGAGCAATGTTACAACCATTGTACTTCATGTGGTTGGTCAATCTCAGACATAGGACTCTTGACCTCCTGCTTCTGTAGCTACTGCTAAGCCTACCATGTCTTTAGATGTCTTTGACCAGCTCCTCCCACAAGTTGCCTTTGCTTCTGGTTCTTTTGTCCCTGACTAGGATCAGGTAACACCCATCTTTGACCTTTGATAACCCAGGTATATAACATTTGTTCTTTCTGTTGGTTCTTGTGCGAGCTTTTTGCATGCATCTCAACTCATTAAATGCTTTTTCGCCATTTTGTTCTCTCACCTGTTTGGTGCATATTTCCAAATGCTTTCAATCTGTGCTTCATGTTGACACTCAGTTGCCATGTCCTCCCTAAACTTAAGTTTTTTTCTCTGTGGCTTATTGTAGGATTCTCTTTTTTGTGTACTATCCCACAATTCTCTTCTCAGAGCTTGTGGGTTTTCCTTCTTCTCATACTTTGGCTCTTTTATATACAGTATGCCTTTTTCATCTTTTGCCTACTCACCTTCTTAGCTTGCAATCCCCTTTACCCTTTCCTTCTGAGACATTGCATAACTCCCCAACAGCTTTACTGGGATAAGATTGCAATAATATGTTTTTCATACTGCCCCATTTTCTTCATCATCTATTGCCCAGATTACTTTTTTGATTCTGGGATTTGCTTTAATGGTCTACCTTGTCCCCTGGAATCATACTTATTCTCTCCTATCTCCATTTGATACCTTCATTTATGTGAACTTTTTGGTGAGTTCCTTGTTCTGTGGCCGCTTCTAAGAAACTAATCATCCTTGGGACTCTATACTAAGTTGTTTTTGGGGCCACCCTTCAGCTTTGGGTCTCTGGGATGTTGGCTCTTACACTTTATATGCCTATGTACTCACTTTGCAGGAGACTCTAGGTGCCTTCCTTGTCTTTCAGGACTTGCACCTTTCTGTTTCACACTAAGTTCTGAGGACATTCACACAAAACCTTGTTGGGTCTGTATTTCCACAACTATATGGACATTTGTTAACTTTTAGCCCTGTTCTGGGAGGAATCTTCTGTTATGATCTCCATGTTTTTACAGGAGTCTGCTCTTTTGGGTTGACTGTTTAAGCTCCTGAGCCAGCATTGGCTTCAATTCAGTGTGCAAATTAGGTGGAAGTCTTTATCATATTGCTCAACATTCTCCTTTACATTCCTGAGATACGGAGCTTGTGGTTTTCAAGATGCTCTTGCCTCCTTTTCTTCCTGGGCAATAAATTCATTCTTTTTTGGGATTTTTTGCTTCTTTTGTGTCACTTGCAGTGAATTTACTAGATCGGTGGAATATGCTTATGATTCATTGTCTTTTCTGATATGTATTTATATCTCTCTCTCTCTCTTTCCCTGTTGCTATCATGATTCCTCTAATGTTTCCACATGATTCTGAGCACCTGTTTTTTTCCACTCTGCCGAAACTTCCACATGTTCATAGATGCCTCTATTCAGGTAGAGTGCATTCTTAGATGCTTTCACCCTTTTGGTTTCTTGCAGAGAAGTCTGTCCACATCATTATTCTTGAGGTGTGGTCAGTTCAATTTTACCTATTCTTTGGCAAATCATTGTAATTATGGTAGTCTGAGCCAAAGTAGGGATAAAAATTTTTAAATTTTAAGTAACTCAGTTTTATAGTTTTGACTTTCTTATTTCAATACTTTTTGTAGGATTAAAACATTCTGTATTACTATAGCTAGCAAGGTTATGTATATATCAATCTCTACTTATCTTTGTACAATTTATCCATTTTTTGTTATACTTGTTTCTATCCATTTTATTAGCTATATTTTTGTGCACGATCAATACCAAGCATGGGGAGCACGTATACCTGATTCAATTTCATTACTCATCAGGATCTCTACCAATCTACCCTCAAATTTAGTTATATGCCCAAAGTAGTGCATAGTTCATTTTTATGTATATATATATATATATATATATATATATACTTTTTTAATTTTCGGTACAAGAAAGGAATCATTGGGACGTCGGGCAGAAGAGTTCTGTGAAAGAATAGGAATGATAACAGACATTTTATAGGAGGTTTTAAGTGGGCATTTTATTTGGCTGCCATTTTGTTTCATCACGATCCCTACTATTAATTACTACTTTACTTAATGATATTTGCTATTAAAATTAAGAAATTAAAACTTGTATAATATAAAAATTTGATGTATTAACTATGTTTCAATGCCTAGTTTATTCATATAAATTGATAATAAAGTAGTTTGATTAAATTTGGAATATAACTGCATAAGGTTGTGACTTGCTCACTTGGACACCTTCTCTATGCAGGATATGACCAAGAAATTATATTGATGTGTGAATTAATACATACTGCCGTGGTTTTAACTTTTTTTCATGCAGTTAATCTACTGTAAAAACATGAAAAGTTTGTGACAGCAAACTTGAATGTTGGCCATATATATATATAGACTTTTCCACATATACTAGGCATCTTTCCCATTGCTGCTCTTTAAGTATAAGTTCCATTAACCTTTTAAAATTAGTGGAACCTATATACAGGCTGAAGAGCATGACTCAGAATTTGAACAAACCATCCTGTATGCTGAAAGTAGTTTTGCTCTGCTCTTAATATTCAGTTCGACTTGCCAAGTCTACAGTGCTGAACCTTTAAACACCTTCCAATGCATCCATACTTTCATCTGTCATGGTAATAAAAAGGCATCAATGTGTGTCATAGCATTCACTCATTAGAAATCAACACAGATCCTGTTACTACCATTCTTCCTGACAATCTGCACTGGAGATGGCCACATACCATCAGAAGGCTGTATAATCCCATCTTTTAGCATCTATTCTGGTTCAGACATTAACACACGGAATCACCTACATTAGTTTAATATTTTCAAATGAGACCCAAAATTTGAGCACTTTTGAATAGTTGACTATTCTTCTTCAGGAGAATGAAGAAGAATTGTCAACTATTCAAAAGTGTTTGAGTTTGGGTCTCATTTGAAAACATGTTATCATCTGTGTTATCTCATTGCTGGCTTATTATGTCCTAGTGCTTCAGTCAATCCTGCTCAGCAAATGTTTAATAGGACTTGTTTGGCCTGTTTTTGTGTGGTAGCATGTGATCATAATTCACAACAGTCGGACATCAGGTCCAACAAATACATTGGCATACTTATCCAACACTAGATGACAGCCAATTATCAAAATACTTACTGTGTACTTTGGTTAAAAAGGGAAAACTCAGTAACTTAATTGAGTGTGTCATTATATCCAAACTGAAAATGACAAAACATTAAATTATTCAAAAAATTTTACACATTAACTATGGTAGTATAAAGTACATAGTACACTCCCAGACTATACTAGATACATGTAGGTTGCATTGTTTCTTTGTTATGATATACATTAATTAACAAACAAGAAGACTTGTACTTCTAGGTAAAATGTCTGACCAAAGACACAAGTTTAAAACATTTAAGTATGGAGATTTATCATGTAAATGTATCTTGTCAAGCCAGCATTTTTTAGCCACCTACTTAGATTTGGTTTCCATTGGACCTAATAGTATGGACATTGTATCTTTCTTCACTTAGTAAACATTAGTTAGTTTTTAGCTGCAGGAATTGAAGATGACCTTAAGTCATGAGCAGTAAAATTATCAGTTGCTGAGGAGAGACAAGATGTTAAGTTTCTTATAAATTATTTGACTTCTTAATTTAAATTAACTAAGAGAACATGAGCATAATAAATATTTAAATATTGTAAAAGATAAAATAGTTTGAGTAAACATATGTTTGTTTGAAAAAATTAATTTCTAACAGTATTTCTCTCATTTTTCAGAAGAAGAAAAGAGAAAAAGATTAAAGGTAGGTAAAAATATGTTTTGAATAAAAACATTGGTGTGTGTATCTACATGTATATATGTATTGTATTCATAATTTAAATTATACACATTACTTAACTAAGTAAACTTAAAAAATAATTCATAAATAGTTGAATGATTGAAATTACGTTTTTACTACGAGTCTCTTTATATACATAATTATGAATGATGGTACAAATATTAAAACTAATCACAAATGCAGCTTACTGATCAGTAATACATGACCAGATTTGAACTAAATATAAAGGGTTGAGTTAGTTATATGCAAATGATTTTAGTACTCAAATCAGCAAGTCATGTGACAACCACACCTTATAAAAAATTTCAGTGTTATGGAATGTATAAGAACTACACTTTCACATTGTTTGGCATTTTGTAGTTATTGTGAAGCCATTGAAGATTGATTGCTTTTTGGGGATGGGTATGTAACGGCCCTCTGAAAAACAAGAAACAGAGAAAAGTAGCAGTCTTGCATGTGTGCCAGAGTGGGTCTTGAAGACTGGTTAGCAGCCAGACCAACATTTTGTCACAGTAGCTGTAGGGCTTTTTAACCTTTAACTTGCACTTCAAAAATTAATTCTAGGTAAATAGATAGACTTATAGTAGTACGTATGAATCAGTATAAAAATTACATGTGTAATCTGCAAGTGTTCATGATTGTACTTGTTTATGGCTATGGTAAGTGCTTGCAAATGATTAATACCTTCAATAAATTATAGTAAAATTAGCACACAATCTCAGAGCACCTATTTTTCAAAGTTTTGCTGTAGGGGCATGCCCCTAGACCATCCTAGAACTGGCATGCCTTTCACACTATTTTCAGTTGTGTCACCAATCCAAAAATTCTTCCACCACCACTATCTTATACAAGAATTGATAATAAGACATTAACATAATGTGTATCTACTCACCAGTCAGAGATATAGTCAATGATTTGTCAGAGGCACTAGTAATTTTAGCTAGGTATCATGGCAGAAACAGATTCAGATTGAGAAAAAATGGCAGGACTTTTATAGATGATTTAACCACAGTATTCATGAATAACAAACAAAGATGAAATGGGCAACAACTAAAAACTAAAAAACAGAAGACTTTCAAAAAGTCATGATCTGTATGCGAGCTACTTTGGAAGATTAGTCCCTTAAAATTTTGCTGTGAGTGTCACTCTAAACTAGGAAGTTGCTGCCTATTTTACCATTGTTTGTTAAACAGGATTTTTAGTTTCAGTAAATTGTCTAACTAAGGTTGAGATAAAAATAAAGTTCGTATCCACATAAGTATTGTGCACCACTACTGTCTATCTAATGTTATTTTGTAAATTACATTAATCATCAGCATAGCTCATAGCAAGTTTTTCATGTTTCAAGAAAACAAAAAAAAAGGACTGAAAACATAAGAAAGTAGTACTAATATATAGTTTCTTAACAGAAGCTGTGCATTATTTGTATTATCTAACAACAGCTGCACTTTAAGATGCAGAAATTTGTATATGAACCTTGAAAACTACGTTCCTGTGTTTATTTCAAAACTTTCAATTAACTTCTGTTTTATTTTCTCAATATCTAAAAAATCTAGCTAACTGTTTGGTTGGGCCTAAACTTGCTAAGATGAATTTATAAAATGCAAGGCCATAAAGAACAAAGTTTATGTGTAATATTCATAATACTTTTTTGAGTAGGAGGTTAAAACACAACTTTGGCTTGTAAGTGCTTGAAAAGATGCATTTCTTTTCTAACTGACAATAAACAAAAAATTAATTCAAAGAATTTAAGAAATTGGATTGATTGACTTTTTGTATGAAATCTGAGGCAAATTTTTCACATTCTGAAAACTAATTGGATGGAATTCTTAAAGTATTTATAATTTAACAAGTATAAATACACAATAAACAAACACACTAAAAAAAAAACAGCTATCAATGTGACTTCAAATAACTGGAAGATTTGGAAAGTATACTGTATGCACATTCATAATGAGATGACCAAATAATATTCATAGTAAATTTCATTTGGTATTACATATGCTTTTTTCTTTTTCGGTTTTGAATCAATAAGAGATTGTGTGTGTGTGTTTGGTTACAATTTGGTGATGACTAATGGTATGAGATTAACCATTAATAGCTCTATTTTTTCATATGCTTTTTTCTTTTTTGGTGATGACTAATGGTATGAGTTTAACCACTAACTGCTCTATCCTTTTTCATTTACTTTTACAACCTCATTAAAAGTATATAAAAGAATGAAGCATGATAAAAATTAAACATAAGATTATGTTTATTAATTCTAAAGTAGGTATAACTGAAATGCTGAATCAAAAGAATGAGACATTATAAGTAAAGATTGTATTCCTATAAGTTATTTTATATTTATTATAAATCTTATTCCTATATTTTAAAATATTTGTTGGTGATTTGGATAACACACAAGCATTGATTTAAAAAAGAAAGCTAACAACCCCTAGGTTCATCATTTTGGATCAGACACATAACATGTTAATATATGTTACAGCTTCAGAGGTAGTGATGTACATAAGATTTGTTTTAACAAATTTGATATTGTTTTAAATTACTAAAAAAAATACAAATAAAACAATTTCTATTTAGCAAGTGTAAAGCAATTTCTGTTCATTTTTTTATTTTCTAAAGTTCTACATTAACTCAAAAATTAAATACCATTTAAGAATTTAACTGGTTAGCTATCTCCTTTCAGAGATTTTGTAGCAGTTTTAATCCAGGTTATCATTTTTTATAGTTTAACCCTTTCGAGACTGGTCACGGGTGACAGGCCATGTCATCTCATTTGTTGACTCGCATTCAAATTTTTATTGAACTACTATTCCATGAATTTATGTCAATAACTTTGGTATCAAATTGTAGATTATAATTCAAATTTTTGTACTATATATTACTCAATTTCTGAATTTAAAAGCAAATATTAAAAAACACTAATAAACATAGATTTTTTGTGTGTCACATGGTATGTTGAATGCAGCAATGGTTCAAATTATATGTTTGTGAAGTGAAAATACTAAGTGTATAGTTTCGTACAAATTAGAAACTCAAATTACCGATATTGACAAGCAAGAATATAAAACAAGAACCTCTTATCTTTTGAATTTGC